CAGCTGGTGGCAACAAGATAAAATAGGAGTGAGGGGGGTGGGAAATCATACCCATCTCCTTTTTATACAGATATGATGGGAAAGAGAACTGAAAAAATGGGTGAAATAAAAACAGGAAACAAAAGAAGGTGGAGCTTCTCATTTTGAAAAATATGTAAAATCAAGCTGTTTACTTGAGAGTTTCTTGGAATATTGAGATATACCTGTAGTTTCTCCCCCTGATGCATCATTCTTAGTGCCTTGCCCTGGGAAGCAGTAGAACTTACTCTCTGGGTGCTGTTTATAAATTTGAGTGGGGCTCCAATTGCTAGGCCATTACCTGACTACTATCCCTGGCCCCCTCCCTGCCTGAGAGTAGAAAAAAGATCAAAATTAGAGAGAGGTCATGAATTGCTGCAATAAGCACAAACTCTGCAGTCAGACAGATCAAAATTTGAATCTGGACTCAGGTAATAACCAGTTGGAATTAGTTGTGTCACCCAAGCAATCCCAAATGCTCTGTGAATTGGTCTGTGACCAAATGAGAAAAATTATAACAATGTTACACAGTTTTTCATAACACTAAATTTGTCTCTGTTTTCATGTTGTAATTATGATGTTCCTACCTTATTGGTGGCAACAATATCCTTTCTTTTACAAAAGGATGTGGATGATAGATTGTAGTAATTTTTAAAAAGGTCTTTAACCTTAACAGAATTAAAAGTCAGTGATCTTATGTCTGGTCCCAATTGTCTCCTATACACAAACTTCTTTTTTTACTTGCCCATGAAGCCCAAAAGTGAACTACTGACTTAGAAGTCTCACTTTCTCATCAATAAAACAGGAGATGGGAAACTCTTTTGCAGAGGTGGTGTATAGTGATGATGATATATAGAAAGCATCAAGCCTTTAGAGTTTTATCATCATCATAAAAAGCTTGACTACTTGACTTGACGGTTTATTCAATAAAATTCATATCCAGGCAGTCCAGCACAATCATCAACAGCAAGCCCTGGCTGGTTTGGCTCAGTGGTCAGAGCGTCAGCCCATGGACCAAAGAGTCAGGGATTTGACCCTGGCCCCAGGAGGGGTCGTACAGGAAGCAACCAATTGATGTGTCTCTCTCATCTCTCTCTCTCTCTCTCTCTCTCCCTCCCACTCTATCTAAAAGAATCAATGGAGTCTGGCCAGTGTGGCTCAGTGGTTGAGTGTCGACTCATGCACCAAGAGGTTGCCAGTTCAATTCCCAGTCAGGACACATGCCCAGGTTGTGGGCCCAATCCCCAGTGGGGGGCATGCTGGAGGTGGCCAATCGATGTTCTCTCTTATCGATGTTTCTATGTCTCTCTCCCTCTCACTTCCTCTCTCTCTAAAATCAATAAAGGAAATAAAAAATTAAAAAAAAAATCAATGGAAAAATATACTCAGGTAAGGATTAAAAAAATTAATTAATTTTTTAAAAAAAGCATGCTCTAGAATCAGGCTGCTGGATTTAAATCCTGGCTTTGCCACTGCTAGCTCTGTGATCTTGAGTAAATCAGAGTAAGTTACTATCTCATCACTCAAATGGGGAGTATAAACAGGACCTACCAAATAGGGCTTTTATAAGACTTAAATGAGATAATTCATGTAATATGCTTATCACAGTGCCCTCTAAGTGCTCTATACTTGTTACCTAAGCATCATTGTTAATATTGTAATAGGTGCCTATTACTAAATGCCTATTCATTTCTTTCTTTTTTTTTTTTTTTATCCTCACCTGGGACATTTTCCCATGTTTTGTTCAGATAGAGTGGGAGGGAGAGAGAGGAAGAGAAACATCGACGTGAAAGGGATACATCAAGTGGCTGCCACCCAGACGACCAACCAGGGCCATGGACAAACTGCAACAGAGGTACTTGCCCTTAGCGGAAACTGAACCCAGGTCTCTCTGGACCGCAGACCGATGTTCTAACCACTGATCCAAACTGGCCAGGGCAATGCCTATTCGTTTCTGCATCAACACATTCTAACCTGAAATCCTTATTAAGAGGCTATGAGGGCCCTGGCTGGTGTTGCCAAGTGGTTAGAGCACTGGCCTGTAAACAGAAGAATTAAAGGTTCAATTCCCAGTCAAGGGCACATACCTCTGTTGCAGGTTTGATCTCCAGGGGGTCAGGGCATGTATGAGAGGCAACCAATTGATGTGTCTCTCTCACATCGATGTTTCTCTCTCTCTCTCCCCCCCTTCCTTCCATCCCTTCCACTCTGTACCAAAGGAAAAAAAAAAGAGAGAGGGAGAGAGAGAGATGGGCTATGAGGCCCGGCTGGTATGGCTGAACGTCCTCCCATGCACCAAGAGGTCATTTGTTTGATTCCCGGTCAGGGCACATGCCCTGGTTGCAGGCTCAATCCCCAGTGGGGGTCGTGCAGGAGGCAGCAGATCAGTTCTCTCTCATTGATGTTTCTATCTCTCTCTTCCTCTCCCTTTCTCTAAATAATCAATAAAAAATCCTATTAAAAAAAAGAGGCTATGAGGATAATCAGGGGTAACATTTATTTAAACTATTTTAAATTAAATCTTTAGGTCAAGAACGAGAATTTGGATAACATACAGATCTAGGTATCATCAAATGTCATCCTAAACAATATCTAGAGAATCAATAGCTTTCATTACTTTTGAAATTTATACATATTGATCAATGGAGGTATAATATAGTTATATGATCAAAACAATGACTTTCAATTAAAATAGTTAGCTTTTAATAACATCAAATATAATTTTTATATTTAGCATATATTTATTCCGATAACATTGATCTTTAGTATACAAACTATGGGTGTTAGTATTATTTATGTTTTAAAATATGACTAAGTTTTTCTGAAATTCAGCAACATAAATTACAATTTATTTTAGTTTATATAATAGGAGTTGATTTACAAAAGAAATGATCAAATGATGAGTTTTTCTTTATGCATTTTTAATGTGCTTTCATAACAAATATTTAAAAAGATAAAAACATTATACATAAACACCATTATGCATTTCACCTGATGAAATCCATTAGTTCTTTCTCGGGAATAACTATTGAGCAAGAGTATGTTGTTATTTTTTTAAATATGTTTTTATTGATTTTTTTTGAGGGAGAGAGGGAGAGATGGAAACATCGATGTAAGAAACATTGATTGTCTGCCTCCTGCCCTTCCACTACTGGGGATTGGGTCGGAAACCTGGGCCCTGACCAGGAATTCAACCAGGACCTCTCAGTCCATGGGTCCATGCTCAATCCACTGGGCCACACCAGCCCTGCTGAGCAAGAGTATGTATTAATTCTCAGGAGAATGAAGAACTTCCCTAACATTTCCTATTAACACATGGTAAGGTTATATCAGCATTTCTGGTCTCTATGTCTAACTTTTAAGTCTTTGTGTGTGTGTGTAAACACTTTTTCTTTATTAATTTTAGAGGGAGAGGAAGGGAGAGGGAGAGAGAAATGGAAACATCGATGAGAGAGAACATCGATTAGCGGCCTCCCGCGTGCCTCCCACTGGGGTTGGGGCCCACAACCTGGGCCTGTGCCCTGACCAGGAATCCAACCCGTGATCTCTTGGGGCATGGGTCCACGCTCAACCAGTGAGCCACACTGGCCGAGCTAACTTTTAAGTCTTTATAACTACCATAAAACTGTTGGACACAAGTTATAAAATCAAAGCTCACAGTTGATTACTTAAATGTCCAATATTGGAAAATAGAGTTAAGCTGGTTTTTGTTTTTTGCATTTCTGCAAACCATGTAACAGCAACATGTAACTCAACTAGTTATAGTAGTTATACAATAGATTATATTTATCTATCTTTAGCATGTGTGTGTGTGTATATATATACATGAAACTATATATATTTGTATATATATGAAACAATTGTATCTTCTCTAACTTCCAGAATGTTTGGCAACTACAGATCAAAACTTGTTAAGTATAATATTGCCATTAGTTTTTACGAGCTAGAGCTATTAAGTTAGGTTGCTGGGTTTGAATGCAGGCTTTGCCATTTAACATCTGTGATCTTGGCAAGTTACTTAACCTTCCTTAGCCTCGGTTTCTTCATTTGTAAACTGGACAGAATAACAGTACTATCTCAAAACTTAATTTGGAGATAATTCATGTAGAGAGCAGTGCCTGGCCCATAACTAACAATATATGCTTCTGTTATCATCATCGATTGCAACACTAAAAGTAACAAGGCTATTAAATGTTTTACTTAGAAGTGATTGCCGGAAGTTTTCGGAAGGTAAATCAGATATGAAATCATTTCTGTAACGAAGCACTTCTGTTAAGATTTATGATTTTGATTAACTTTTCATCACAAGGCAACGCATATTTTCTAGAATTATCTTCGGAACCAAGAAAGAAAGTCAAATCCGAGACCACGAAGGCAACAATACACAAGCAGAGATGGTTATTACCCGCTTCAAACACCTGTCAATTCTGATCCACAGATGCCATTTCATTGAATGGACAGAACCGGTCCAATCTTAGCACTTTCTAGGCTGCAACAAACTTCCATTAAGGGAAGAACAAACACAAACACAAAAATGCCTAACTCTCATCATTAATTCATACCTGCAGAAATCGAGATCTATTTGCCAGAGAGGTTTAGAGTTCCCAAATCGGTCTTGAAAGGGCGCGGGAGGCGAGGAGAGGAGAGATGCTCGCGTTTTGGGGGCCACAGGGCCTCACTCCACGGCGGGAAAAGAATCGCCCTGGGACCGGTGAGTGGAGAACCAGGGAGGTCACGCCTCCAAACCGGGCGCCGGGGAAGAGGGCGGACAGTCGAACCGCGGTTCCGCGATCTGACCGCTCCCCCCGCCCTCAGCCCCACCCGCCAAGTAGGGACCATGCCGGCCGAACACGCGGAAGCGGCGACGGATCGGCAGCCGGCTCCCGGGGCCAGGCGGCCGGAGGCCGACGCCCGCTCTCCGGCCAGAGCGGCCCCGGCCCCGCCGCCCAGGCCGCCCGCAGCTGCGCGCCGCGGAGCCTTACCCGATGTCCCGCTCCGCGACAGGTGGTGCTGCTGGCAAAGAGATCGCGGGCCTGCCGCCCACCAGGCGATGATCAGCTCCTGCCCGGCCCGGCCCCGCCCGCCCCTTCTCCGAGCCACCCCGAGCCACACCAGCTCAGGTTCGAACTAGCAGGAGCAGCCAGTCACCGCCGGAGGCAACCAGTCAAGTAACGCTGTGCGAGGGAGGGATCCGGGAGAAGGACCGGCAGGCCCATGGGCGGAGACTGACGGGCGCGCGGACCAATACGGAGGCAGGAAGTCGGCCCTGAGGGGCGAGGCCCCGCCCCTGACCTTCGCGGCCCGCGCGTTCTGTTCGTGCACGGCAGAACCTTCCATCCTTCAAGTCACTGTTTCGAGGGCCAGTGTGCGCCCGTGTGGACGCGGTCCCTAGGAATGTGAGAGGGGCCGTGTAGATCAGGAGGAGTCTGAAGACACAGGTGACACCCGTCACTCCGCACAAGAAACCGAGGGCGGCTTACCGCTGACTTCGCATCCCCCGGACAAGGGGGTTGTCGCTGGTGATGGCAGTGCGTTCGCGCGAGAAGAGGCTCTGCGCAGGCGCGGGCGGGGCCGGGGGATGTTGTCGGGTACCAGTATCCCAGCGCAGCTAGAGGAGGCCTGGGGAAGGGACCATCCTGGACAGCCAGTGGAGGGTAGGAAAGGATGGAGGATTTAGGAGGTGGATACAGGTCAGGTAATGGAGAAGTAGAAGAGGGAGGACTCAGGAAATGCAAAGCTGCCACACTTTAGGAATGCTTTCTGTTCCTAGCCATTTTTTGTGGCTAGGACTCTATCTTTTGTAGATTTCTTTGTGTCTCACTGCTGCTGGCACACTTACTGGCTGGTAGGGAATTTACAAATGGTCCCTAGCATCACAGTCAATGCGATGTTCAATGTTCTCTCAGAAGAGCAATAGAACACTAAATTGTCACCTTGGAAGAAGCAGGGCCCTAGCCAGGTAGCTCAGTTGGTTGGAGCGTCCACACCATGTGCCAAGTTTGTGGGTTTGAACCCCAGCACATACAAGAGTCAACCAATGAATGAGTAGAACAACAAATCAGTCTTTCTCTCTCTCTCTCTCTCTCTCTCTCTCTCTCTCTCTCTCTTCCCCTCTCTCAGAATCAATAAAAATAAAAAGTTTTTTAAAAGGCTCTGGCCTGTTTGGCTCTGCGGTTAGAGGTCGGCCTGCAGTCCAGAGAGACCCGGGTTCGGTTCCCGCTAAGGGCATGTACCTCGGTTGCAGTTTGTCCCCAGCCCTGGTTGGGTCATGTGGGAGGCACGACTCAATGTTCCCTTTCACGTTGATGTTTCTCTCTCTCTCTCTTCCTCTCTCTCTCTCTCTCTTCCTCTCCCACTATATTTGAGCAAAAAATGGAAAAATGTCCTCGAATGAGGATAAAAAAAAAAAGTTTTTAGAAAGAAAGCAGCAGGAACCATAACTTAATACATCTATACCTACCTATGGTTATGATATTAGAAGATATTCCTTACCCTTTTTTCAGAAAATGTTATCACAAAAAAGTCTTTAGGTTTGTGTACTTTTATGGTAATGATAATTTTTAAATAAACATGTAAAGGATAAAAAAGAGGGAAGGCAAATGGAATAATTAAATTGGAAGTGATCGAAATGTAAGACAAAACTGAGAGGAGGTAAAGAAAAATAAATTGTCCCATCCTAAAGACTTTGACAGCTATTTAAAATCTGGAGCAACACTGCCAGTCCGAGGATGGAAGGGTGGGGCAAGTTTGTGAACATTGTAGTTAGATGATAAATGATAGGTATGGCTGCTATAACCACTGCAGCAAAAGAGGGAATATAAATTAGCATGGCCTACAATAACCTTGCATGCCAGAAATTGTCAAGATGCAGCAAGCTGAATGAGAACTTAAAATATCACATTATAAATGTTTAATTGATAAAGGTAAAAGTATTTTGCCTTTGAAAGACAGTTTGTCCTACATTAGAGTAATTCCAGGTTGAAGGGTTGTAGAGAGCTATCATGAATGGGATTTATTTTGGTTTAATTGAGGTCAATTCATTCCGTAAATGAAATCTGTTAATGTCAAGGAGGCAAACACTGCTATTTGGCTGGTCCACCCATTCACTTGTTATTCTTAGTCACTATGGTTGTTCAGTGACCAAGCCTCTCCTCCGTTTTCTGTTGATTTGGACCTTGGCACCTTGTTTTGCATGATCCCCCTTTTTATATACATCCTTTCAGGAAGAGCTTGTGTCTTCTTTCTGGCTCAGCATTGTTTGTATTGTCTGTTTTGACAACTCAACAAGGCCTGGTGAACTACATTCTGGGTACAGAGGAGGGCACTAAGGAACAAGCCTACAAGGAAGTCACTGGATCCACAACCTGTTTCAGGGGCATTTACTCCAAAACAAACAGCAATGCACAATGCAAATGGTTTAGTTTATATATTAACTGGGATGGATATAAAATTCATGCAGTGGGGTGTGTAAAGTATCTCACTCAAGCTTGATGAAGTTTTTTATATGCAAACACCTGTGTAGTCATTATCCACACTAAGCTATAGAAAGTTCCTTGTGCCTCTTTTTACCCCCACACCCCTTAAAGCTAACTACTTTACTGACTAATGCTGGTAGCTCCAGCAGGGATGGGGAACCTTTCTTCTGCCAAGGGCCATTTGGATATTTATAACATCATTCTTGGGCCATACAAAATTATCAACTTAAAAATTAGCCTGCTATTTTTGGTCAGGCTCATTTGCTGAGGCGTGTGATGTCCACTGGTATTGATTTCACAGGCCTTATACAGCCCAAGGGCCAGACATTCCCCACCCCTGCTAGGGGAAAGACATGGGTATGGATCAGTTTGTGTGAGTCTTGCTTTGTAACGAGTTAAGACTGATTTCTCAGGCTTTGTCTACAGTTTGGCTGGTTCACCTGTGAAGTGGGAGGAGCCTTGAAGGGCAGGCTTCTGGAGCATACCTGGCCATGTGACTTCTCTGTAAAACTCTTTCATGAGCAGAGTTTAAAGTGGTATGTATGCCAGTTATCTCAGGATGAGCACACAGTCACCCTTCTTTCTCAAACTCCAAGGAAGATGCATGGAAAAACTTTCATATCAATTGCCATGAAGATAAAGCAGCTTTATTTTATCCAAATACCATAATGTGTTTACTTCAGGAAAATCCATATTATTGAGTTTCAGAGAATTATGGAAGGTCATACTTGTTAGATTGTTGGATTTAGGTTGATCCATCATCTATAGCAAAAGCAGATAGACTGTGCTGATCACATATTTAGATTTATATAACTCCATCTGCCTTAGAATAGAAAACATTAATAATGAATGCTGACTGTGCCACGGGAATTATCCTCCAATAAATTAGGGTCATTAATAATGCAGACTCTTAAAAAATACAAGAGAAAGTAAACAGTATATCTAAGAGCATTTGTGCTAAAGCATTGCAGAAACAAACATCCTGTCAGCCTAGTGTGGAAGTGAGACATAAAAGCATTTGGTGAAGGCTGGTACTATCACTAAGAAGCAATAATGTTTTTGTTATTCCCCAAACACAATGAAGTTCTAATGATAATAATTACCTCCGAAAAAGTACTAACAATTCTTTATATAATTAAAATAAATATAACTTCAGGCTGTCTAAAAGTGTAAAATGATACCATAATAAGCAGTGTTTTCATTAACAAAATATTTTAAGGAAAGTTCTAGAAATTTTTGTAAAGAACAAAGGAGTTAATATCATAAGTTTATTAACAATAGAACTGTTACTCCTCAAAGATATTTATGGATAATATTGTACCACACTTGATTTTTCTCTAGGACTTAGGCAACCTGGAAAAAGTAAAATGAAAATTGACTAGCATTATGTCATTGTGGAATTAACATCTTTTATTTATGATAGTGACACGGTCTTGCTAAGGATACCTAGGCTGCTTGGTGTTAACTTATACCAAATCATAGTCCTGGCTCCATTATTATCTATAAGTGTCCTTTCAGGGTTGTGATCTCTATGAATTGGTCGGTACCAGGGTAGGGGGTAATTAGTCATTGCATCTGGTCCTGATGTCAGCCATGCTAACATTCCTTCTGGTTTTGCTGCTTTTCTAGGCCTGGAGCTGAAATACAACTGAAGCCTAGATGTTATCTCTATTTGACCAAAACTCTGTCTCTGTGGTCAACAGACCTGAGGCTTTGTTCCTAAGATTATTTGAAGTTGAACTGAACCTCATTATTTTAATGCTTAAGGGAGTGGCCATGCAAGGGAGAAGGAGGCAGGTGAGTGAGGGTGCAGGAAGAGGCCAGTTTGAATCAGCTATCTGTCTCAGTTTCCTCATTCCACTTGCCAAGAAATTTTCCTCACTTTTTACTATCCTGCCTCATCATTACCTGGGAGCTTATTAGAAAAATGAAATCTGGGCCCTGGTTGGATAGCTCAGTTGGTTAGAGCATCATCCCAACACACCAAGGTTACGGGTTTGATCCTGGTCAGGGCACATACAACAATCAACCAATGGAGCATCAACCCATGCACCAAGAGGCTGTCAGTTCAATTCCTGGTCAGGGCACATGCCCAGGTTGTGGGCCCAGTCCCCAGTGGGGGTGTGCAGGAGGCATTCAGTAGATGTTCTCTCTCATTGATGTTTCTATTTCTCTCTTCCTCTCCTTTCCCCTCTTTCTAAAAATCAATAAAGAAAAAATATTTTTAAAAATAAGCAACCAATGACCCTGGTATGTGTGGCTCAGTTGGTTGGGGTGTCATCCTGTACACAGAAAGGTCACCAGTTTGATTTCCTGTCAGGGCACATACCTAAGTTGCAGGCTCCGTCCCCAGTTGGGGTACATACGAGAGGCAACCAATTGATGTTTTTCTCTCACATCGATGCTTCTCTCTCCCTTCTCTCTAAAATCAATAAAATGTAAAAAACAAAAAAACAAAACAAAACAAAAAAACAATAAATGCATAAATAAGTGGAACAACTAATCACCCTAGACCTTCTGTTTCAGAATCCACCATGCCTATGTGTCCCATGCACATAAACTTTTAAGAAGCATGGAGAAACCCTGAAGTTCTAGATGCTGCTGTGAATGGATTGTTATTTATAGATATAGGGTAATAGGAAGCCCAT